AATGGTTTAAAACAAAATCTATTGCTACGTATTATAGTTTTTTCATTATGCTTCGAATCTAGATTCTAGAATCATCTACCAAATTCGGTATATTCCCTGACTGTAGTTCTAGAACAATTTTATTATTTCTATTGTTTTTTTTTTTTTTTTTAGAGCCGCCAAGTCATAATTTCTCCGTATAAATATTTTTTTCAATAACTGGAACACGAAACGACTAGAATAGTCAACTTTACACAAACATGAGTTTTTTGTCTATTATTGCGATGATCAATTTACGGGGGCTGAGTCCGATAAGATTCCCTTTCCGTCATTCATTTGCTAATTCCGACCTGGCCGACCGACTACGATTCCTGTATAAATTTAGAATTTATGAAGATGTCACTTGTAACATTATAAAGGGGTTAAAGATTTCCTATTTAGTGATTCTCATTTCAAAAATGTTAGGATTAATTATTAATATATCGATATTGATACCTCAAAATAAATTCACGTGCAGTCTTGGCGTGGTACCACGACGTACTCTCGTAAGTACGCACATACATACCTTAATAGTCGATTGCAAATTTCCGAATTAAAGTCTTGGCAGTGCTTGGCATTTAATCTTGGTTATTTTTATTAAACTCGATAAATATTTTTCTTGGCCGCTTATCCCTTCTTATTTATTCACAGTTATTTCGTTTGTTGGTCAGATAGTGTTATACTTTCCTCAAAATTACTCTAAAAAAATTAATATTTCTCAAAAAATTATATATTTAACGACTTTTCTGAATTTTATAAGGTAGGCCATTATGCAATTAACAAGATTAACAATCAATATTTGATACCTTAACACTTTAACTAACTTTAAATAATAATATATTTAAACATCTATTTAAAAAAGTACAAATTTTAAAAATTAATCATGGCATCCCCACTATTAGTGTTCTCATCATCGATGCCAACACCAGTTCCCTCAATAGTCTTTGGAATTCTATTCTTTCTGACATCTATACTTTATTTATATCGGATAATACAGTATCGACAGCAATTATATGTATATTTATTTACATTTAGTTGTTCTCGCACAATAGTATTTTGTATTCGCACTGCATGGTCGTTCTATCCAGATATCGATGAATTAGGCCTGGCCTCAGGATTTATTTTGTGCGGGTTTGAATTTCTCATAATGATGGGAATATATACTTTACTCACCGATTGGATTCGCTTAGTTACAAAATTGTCAGTATCATCAGATTCATCAAAGGATAGAAAGACGAGATTATTTTTGGAGCTTCTTTTGGTTAACGTGACGAAATTTGTTTTACCAGTTTGCGGAGTTTTTGGAGCTGTTCAGATCATTCAAGAATATAATGAATCAAATAATGGCACAGATATCTATACTAGCAGCAATATTTTGCGTAAAATATCAAACATAGGCTTCTTAATATGCTTAAGCTTATACATGATTTATGTAACTTATTTTGCGGTGATTTATGTTGGGAAACCTATTGGTCAACAACTTCAAGTTTTGCTGTTATACACCAGTGGCTCTTTGCTATTCATCGAATTGGTATACAGAACATTTATTACCTTTGCTGATGCTACAGATTCTACGAATAGATACGAGTGGATGACTTATGTATTTGAGGCTATACCTGAATTGGTATTATTAGCCGTTTTGGGCGGT